TTAGACCGCTCGGCCACGCTACCATGTACAGAGCTCTTTTCCATACCTCCTATCTGGTCGCCATTATTCCGACAGTATTTGAAAGCAGCACTGGTTTAGCGCGAATATGGTTTCCTTGTTTGGAAAGTGACGACAGACCCTCGGAGGGTCAGGTAGCACAAAGGAGCACAGCCTGTTTCCGTATTATATTCTCCGACAGAATCATTAAGTATTATAATGAACCCTTCATATAACAAACACAGCTACAGGCAGTTGGGAGAAACATATTTTATTTAATGCGTTCTTTCTCAGAAGTTACTCTTTGTAGATCTCATGATCCAGTCAGCTAGAATATGTTAAACCATATGTCCATATGTTTGCAAGTAGTGATGTTATTGTCTATGGACACAGTGAGTATTTAAGGACAATGCACAGAGATACATGATAGGAGTTACTGTAATAACCCTTGTTTTCATTTTGTAATTCTAAAATAACTCACTATCACACAAACATAACAATATTTTTAAAATCCTACAGCTGATTATATTTAACTTTGCAAATATCTCAGGGTATAATGTGGGTTTGTTTTTAGTAAAAGCTACAGCAAATGTTCCCATGGATCCACTCTTTTCAGTTATTAGCCTACAATTTACAGTAATAAAAACATTATCTATTAAACAGGTTTCTCAAAAATGGGTCCACAGTCAAACAGGGACCCATCTCCTGCTCATATTACAAAGAAAATGATTTTCAAAAAACCCAGAGGGTGAAATCAGCTGCTTGTAGATAGAGATGATCTGAGTATCAGTTTATCACAGTGAACACTAGGTGGCAACGTGGAGTGTGAAATCCCTCCATTCATATTGTAGGCCTTTATTTCTTCCAAATCTAGAATTAGGCTCCAGACAGGATAAAAGATGAGCTATAGACAACTTTTATTTCAGCTTTTACTGCCTCGGCTTCCATTTTATGCACTATTTCACCCTGGACACCAGTTCTTACAAACAAACTGTCATCAGCTGGTGAAGCATAAAACAGACTGTGGTATCTGCCCTCGCCCTGCAGTGAAAAGACACAGCTGCATGTTATTTCATTAGGGGAAGCAGCAACGTAGAAAATGTAGAGGAATACTACATCAAAGTCAAACTACAGGCCCCTGTGAGAACATTATAGGAGCATAGAATGAGTCACGAAAGGATACCGTTAAGGTCACTAACAGCCTAAATCCCCTAGTGAGTACAGAAACACACACACTGTACCCTACAGGAATAAATAAAAGTTATTTCACGTTGTTTGACCCAAGAAACAGTGAAAAATGTCCATCACAGTCCGAAACCCAACCATGTTTAATTTATTATCGGAAATTATAAGTAGAATATATTATCATAGGAAGAACAGCTGGAAGCAGAGGATGTTTATCAGTCTTCAAAAAATACTGAAACCATTAATCAGTTATACAAGTAAGAAATAGCTGATTCATTTTTGAGTTATTGAATTATTGACTTATAGTTTCAGATCTAAAAGCCTAAATGTTCTATTTGGAGTCATGGAGATCCAGGCCCCTCTTTAGTTGCCCAAAAACATTCATAAAAACATTGTTTTGTTCATGACTTTCCAAACTTTAATAGAAAATGCCTCCAAACCTGATTTTGAACTGAAGTTTAGGATGGCTGCCACAGAGAGCGACATAGTTATGTACAGTGTTAAATACATATAATATACAGTGGATTTCCATTAGCTCTCGTTCTGTTATAGGAGTTTTATGACAGGCTTAATGCTTCTAACAGGGACTTTGACCTCTTTGGGGTCCCTGAATAAAAGTCACTGAGCAGGAGAGCAAACTGCATTTCTTCTTTGTCTGTCAATGGTCTTTTGGCAAACAAAAATATGTGTGTGCGTGTGTGTGTGGGTGGGGGTGTGTGTGTCACCTTTTATCAATCCAGTAAGGTCAGAAAAATGAAAAGGAAAGCATAAAAAAAACTGTTGATTGTGTAACTATTAATACTATTACACATACAGAAATGGAGTCTGTGTGACCCCAGAACAAAAGGGTTAAATATTACTCACTGCCTGTGACTGTGAGTTCCTGTTTTGCTGGGATATGAGATGGCCACCTTCACAAGCCTACCCACTTTTTCATAATGCAAATAAAGGCCATGTATAGGGGGGTCTCTCTCTCTCTCACACACA